GAGTATACAAGCTTGATTGTGAGTGTGGTCTCTCATATATAGGGCAAACAAAACGATCAATAAAAACCCGCGTAAAAGAACACATAGCTGACGTGAAGCACCAACGTTCCGGGAAGTCTACAGTTTGTGATCATATCCTAGACGGCCCCCGTCATTACATTAGATTTGATAAACCACAAGTCCTCGCGAAAGAACATCGATTCCTGCCAAGGATGATACGTGAGGCTATTGAAATTAAAAAACATCCTAATTTCAATAGAGAGGGAGGCTGGGTACTACCACCTGCTTGGGATCCTGTAATTCATAAAATTAAAACTAAACCCAAGCATACCACTGTAAGACTTCAAGACACAGTTAGTTCATTCTGCGTAGATCGGACCAAAATTAATAATTAAAAAGCTGAAGGTACTCCGGGTTAACTTTGACATCGGGACGTCAATCACCTCAGTCCCCCGTGACCACGGTTGCTGGAAAGCAACCGAAACGTCGGGAATATAAAATAAGTAAATTAAACGCGATAAAATCCGTAAAAATAGTTTTATTCAATGTGTAGTGTTCGCGTAAATATAAGAAATCATTGGACAGATATGGTAGAGATAGCTGCTGTTCGAATGGGTCGTATCGATTGGGAAAGAATCACACGCTCATGGAATATCTAATGAAAAACTCATAGAATATCTACTGAAAAGTTCATAGAATATTAACTGAATTACTAATGCGTTTTGTTTGGTAAGTGATGGGAAATTTGGACCCTTTTACTGACATCGAGACATTCCACCTCATTAAATAGAGATGAGGCATGTGCATTTTAATTCTTAATTGGGGATAGATGAAGATATTTAAAGTGTTTAGTGACCATCATGTACGCTGTGCTCAATGTTAAACTTTTAAAAAGAAAATCAAATATTTCTTAGATTATGGTCATCTCTCATCCACATAGTTAACTAAAATGTCTTCTTTTCGAAGGAATCTGTCTGAAAGAATTATCATCATAATTAATTAGGCCCCTCACAAGCCCACAGGTGAACATAGACCTATTCCAAAGAATGCCGCAAAGCCCTTGGCACTTGCACCCATTGAATTGCTGCGTTTCGACTAGGTCATCACTCCATCTAATGAGGCCGCCCTAAACACCGCTTACCAGAACGGAGCTGCCCCTTCCTCAATGGAACATTTTTTCCATCAATTGATAGTATGTTGAGTTATATGACCGGCCTATTTCCACTTCAGCTGTGTCTATTACTCCGATTTTATAGTATGAAATGAATAATGTTTGAAAAAATACCAACCAGATGTTTTGTTTTTTCTAGTGCAAATGAATGCAGTGTACCGTTGTTGTGTAGTGTTAGTGTCCGAATGTTTTTGCATCAAGCCGATCGAAAATTGTTTGTATTTTTAAGTTTGTGCATAAATATTTTATGATTTCAACCGATATTAAAAAAGGGGGTTTCCAATTCCTTGTATGTAACGCATGTGTATTTAACGTGATACCCGCGCGATATATAATATGCCGCTTGAATGGTTAAAGAATTAACCATTTAAACGACATTCTAATTGTTACCTTGAAATTCCTTACTTCACTCTAAAGGGTCAAAAAATTAAACCTTTAACAAAAAGAAAATTCAACTTCATAAATCTAAAAAAATTGAATAATTTTCAAAAAACAAACACTTTTGAAGTCGGGGATTCAATTCTACTTTACACAATAGCGATTGTTAATTTTAAATTTTAAAGCTGAATTATTTCGTACTTGGTGGAGAAAAAAGACATCGTGAGGAAACCTGCATATATGAGAAATCAAAAGAAAAATTCGAAGCCATGTTAAGTGATATGTGTGCCAGCACACATTAGGGCAGCGCGGAGAACAATTCTTTGCCCTTAGTCTCTCTAAATAAAAACAAGAGGTCTGTGCCCAGCAGTAGGACGTATAATAGCTGAAAATTTACTTTTATATTCTCAAGCCTTGGTAGACAGGGGCTAAGCACTCGCCGTAAATTACACATTACGCGAGCAACCCGAGCTCAATCCTTGCCAATTAAATTGCTGATTTTCAGCGTGTGTGGCGGTGAAGAAGAATATCGTAAGAAAACCTGCTTGTTTTAATAATAAAATATTTTATTATAACTATATTCCGAGGGGGTTATTGGATTAATTGAAAAAGTTGCCAATGATAATACGATTTGATGAAGCCACGCTGTGGCTATGTTATAGCTGTAGACCAGATGGGACGGCTCGACCGGTGACGGACCACGCTCTCACAGAATACCAGGCGAGTGTAGAAAACCGGAGACACTTTAGACTGAAAATGAAGCATTCCAGCTAAGTTCTCAAGGGTGACAACTGACAACGCATCTGCATTTTGATTGTTATTTGAGGATAGATTTAGATATCTGTGAGCCACAGCATTTATTTACCATTCACAGCATTCATTTACTAAAAAATATAGAAATATTAAAAATCTTGCTTTAACAACCCTCTCAGAAACGAAAGTAGGCCTGTTCCCAGCACTGGAACGTATTGTAAACTGTAACTTTATATTTGACTATATGCAAAATGCTCACTCACATAGAAGTGTGTACAAAAGTTTATCTACAAAATAGCCTGTATTAATAAAACTGTTGTTTAAAAGCAAATTTTTTGAACGGGTTTCGTAAAAAGCTATCAAGCCTCGACAGTGCAGTCAAGGAACGAACGATTCGATAGACATTTCCATTAAGTCTATTTTCTGTTGTTCTATCTATGTTGTTTTGTCCATAGTTTGCAACATTTGTTTTGTTTTCCAGCCTATTTCTGCTTTAGAAATATGCTTGATGATTTCTTTGTTTTTTATTTACTAGTAATATTAGTAGCAGTCTTTCATTAATAAGTAAAGTTAGCCATTCTTTATGGGAGTTCCACACACCCGGCTGTTCATACATACTCGAAGTTCATATAACCACACATTACACATTATTGTATACATTTATTGGTTGCTTTTGTTTTTAATGTTGGATTTATTTGATTTGTTTATTACTTTTGTTGTTATTATTACTATTATTTTCTTATTTTTTATTATATGAAATATTTTGTAATTGTAGTAGGTAACTGATTATTATTATCATTTATTTTATTTTAGTTTATTGTAATTAATTGTTTTTGATTACGGTTTAACGAGAGAATTGTAATAATAATGTACTTATCTTTGTATGAATAAATAAATTAAAAAAATATGTTATGAGTTTTAGTTCAGAATTAGTATTCTATGGTACCTACTGTAATTTTACCAATTTCTTCGTTTTTTTAAACTAAACTGTGAAACGAACTAGTAGAACTGCTTTTCGGTAGAAACAGGTAAGAAGGTTGTTCGCGATCTAGTATTTTATATTCATATATATAATAATAAATTTTTACGTGGTAGAGCCATGCTGCAGCTATATTAATAGTATAGTTATAGCACGAATGGGTCGACTCGAGCGGGGAAGGACCACGCTCTCACAGAATACCAGCGTAAAATAGAAGCTTAATGCTGCTGTGTTTCGTATGGTGAGTGTAGAGAACCGGAGACCCGTTTTACTGGAAAAGAGGCATTCTATCTTAGTCCTCACGGCTGACAACGCATCTGCATTTTAGTTCGCAAACGAAGATAGATGAAGTTGTCTATAGGTAGGGCCACAGCAATCACTTACCATCAGGTGGACTGTGTGCCCGTTTGTCAACCTTATTTAAAAAAAATATATATAAAACCTTGCTAATAATGGTAAGAATGTAACCTATAATGTGAAATGAAACTCCATTAAAGTACTTCTTCGACAATATTTACTTGGGCCCAGTTACTACATGTTTCCTCCTTTATGTATTGAGATATGTATAAATATGGATATGCTTCTATTACATAAGTATATGTAGTGTAATAAATATATGTGCACATATTTAGATGTTGAAGATATTTTTCAAAAAAGGTTTGCTTATATTTTATACGGCATAACTCATGAAGTATTAACAAACGTTTTATAGGTATAGAATAGAATAGAATTTCTGCCATTTTAGGCTGTAATGGATTGATGGATGGTAGCGTGACCTTGAAAAGTCGACAGTGAAGCCATCCTCTCCACTTCGCGTTTTAGGTGCGCAATAAAAACCTGACTGCTGAGTTCACTGATCACCTAAGCTTATCGTGATGACATGAATCAAATCATCAATCATGAGTTTTGATATGAATTTCAGTCACGGCGGTCTTCTGTGCAGGACATGATTATAGTGCCCAAGTTTATACGTAAGCACAGGTCCACTCTTTATTCCCTCCCCCTCTAAGTCCGAAAGGACGGCAATCCGACACAATCGCAGAGATCAGGCGCAAGACCAACGGCTTTACGTGATTTCCGAGGCACGGGAGTGAAAAATTGCAAACTCTCTGACTCAGCTCTGCTACAAAAACTAACTGAAACTCAATAACATATTTTTGACCCAATCCAGGATTCGAACCCGGGACATCAGTCGTGTTTACAATCAAGTGGTTTGTTTATTGGTGTAGTGACTAACAAGGCAGTCGAAATAACGATCACACTAACATAATTGGACGTAGATTAGCAGAAAGGACTCAAACCACAAAATATCACTTTTGAGTAATCGATGTTTAAAGTTCGGAGATGTATTCTTCAGTGATATTGGACTCAGAATATTAAGGTGTTAGGTTAGTTAAGGGATTTAACAATTGCGTTTTAAATGGGTTTCAGTTTGATGGTATTTTGCATGTTATTCATGAGTTATTGAAAAAAATATAGGTTTGAGTCCTTTTTGATAAATTTGTATTTTCATGATGCAGTCTTTATTTGAATTCTACTAAAATGACTCAAGTGATTAATTAAAATTAAAATTAAAGGTTTTTTAAAAGAAAGTCAATAAATGAATCAAAGCAAAATTATTTATGAATTACCATTTATAATTTAAAATTAAACACAAGTAGGAACTGATTGACCGTGACTCTTACTATTAAAAAATCCAAAATGAACTCTTTACGTTTATTACACTATATCTTGCAATAAGTCTTCCTGGTCATCCTGCTCCGTCTGCTCTGTCTGCTCTATAAGCAGCTCAAAATCAGTAACACAATCGAAGCCATCGACATCTTCAGTAATATTATCGTTCCCCTTTAGAGTTTTATAGAAATCTAAACAATCTTTGGGAATAAAGTCAAAGATAGATTTCAAGTCGTCCAGTTTTGCTTGAGCAATTTCTTTCCCATTCGGCCACAGCAACACTAAGTCCTCTTCCGATATTTCTAATCGTTTTCCTCTTAATCTCTTTTCAATGTTTAGCTCTTCAAACATTCCATCAGTATTTTCCATGTAGATTGTATACTTTTCATCTCTTTTCAAGAGTATTTTTTTTGTCCTTAACCAGTTAACTTTAGCTTTTGTAACGAAAGTTTTTCTGTTGACAATTTTCTTCTCCATTTTGCTGGTAGAAAAGAAATCATTTCTTTGCATCCTATAAACCTTCAGTGGATTTTTTTTCTTGCAGCTCTTAATCACGTTAATGTATTGATCGGGGGTGTATATTCTTTGGTGATATTTTAATTGGTATTCTATTTTAGAAAAATCGGTGTCATTGGGAAGAAATGTATGCCCTGACTCTAAATATTTTAGTGTTATTGTTTTTAGTCTCGGATGAGAATCCAATACTGCTTTCAGCATTAAAATAATTTTTATGTTACGATTCTGTCCCCCACAGCAATCGCTCCACAACACAAGATCTTCCACTTCATGGCTGAGATCGTTTTTAATGAACCGTACGAGGCACGACCCTACCTCTTGTGCTCCTCTTCCTGCTTCTCCTTCAACCCAAATGTTACAGTAACCTACGTCGTTTGAACCGGCATGAATACCACTATTGTAAAGCCAAAGCTGGCGCTTGTAAAAAACTATATTTGTGGGTATCCGGGGAAGAGGAAGCGTTTTTTCTAGGTCATACGTGAGACACTCAAATTTCTCGTCAATTTTAGCTCTTTGCAGATCTTGATTCATTTGAATTCTCAGTTCTTCAGCTCGTTTTAGATGCTCTTCTTTTTCTGCAACTAATATTGTCTTTTCTTCGGATGAACAATTTTTTATTTTATTTCTTAGCGAATCACACTTGTTGCACGTATCTTTTTTTAATGGCTTACATCGCAAATTAAAATTACTATAAAATATACGTTTGAAAGTATTTATAGAAACAGGTCTTTTTAATGTACCGTAAACAGTTTTTAATTCATCTTTATAAATTTCATGAATTTTTTCGATAGTCGTGCCCGGTTTTAAATATTTACTGTCGCTGTTTTCTCTCCTATAGTGGGACTCATATTTAGGCAAGGAATTTATTATATTTTTAATGAACTCGACATCCTCTTGTGGCGTCTTATTCCAGCCACCTTGAGCTTTGCCTCTATTGTCTTTCAAAGCGGTACCAGATCGTTTTTTCAGTAAGGAAATATCGACTTTCTTAGAAGAAATTTGAAAATTATGTGTGAACATATCTTTGCACACTTCTATGTCACATATAAAATAATTTCTTCGGTATTGTCTTGCTTTCTTTTTACCAGATTTATTATTTATCAAGGTGTATGATCTAGATTTAGGGCTTTCTTTGACGTTATTTAAAATATAAAGCAGTTGCGCTTCATATGAGCCTAATAAAACATATTTTTCGAACTCTTCTTTCCTATTTTCTTCTGAAACGCGGAAATAACATTGCCTAGTGCATTTACACGTATAGTCTATAAAGTTTTTAGACGGCATTAGTTTATTTTTTCCATGATAAGGTAAATTGGCATATTTAACGTTCTTTTTCTGTGCCATAGTATGCTCTGGGTGTTTTCTTTTACGTCCTTTTTTGGGACGACATGCCTGTGGTTCACTTTGTGTTTCTAAGATCAGATAATCGTCATTATTTTGAACTTCAAAATTGGTAATTTGATCCAACGTTTCATCACCACGAATAACATGAAAAGTTGTACTTGATGTTTCGTTTCTTATTTCGAAGTCCTGATTTACCAAATTATGCACCACAGCAGCATGAGTTTGTACAGTTCCTGTTGAAACACCAGCTTCGAAATCATCATCACTATCCGGTATACAACATTTTGCCGAAATAATATTGATGTCATTATTTTTCTTTACTCTAATTGAATGGCTACTATCTGAATCTTCTTCACTATCAGGCACATAATCAGTGTCCGTATCACTACTATAATCCCCTGGAAATATTCCACTCAAAGTTTCAACTAGCTCTAAAGTGCTTGGAGACATAGCAGGCAAAGGTGATGGATTTTTTGCACAACCTGAAATATCTCAGAAAAATTAAACTTAATTATTCATTTATTTTTGATACATACAAGAATAAAAAAGAAGCTCATAACTACATTGAATTGTCTTATATCCGGGTACCCGAGGGGTCAAAGGCGAGTACGGTGGAGCTACTGGTGAATCCACTTCATCTGAAAATAATATGATTTTGATATATCATTTGCACCACCGATTTTTTTTTATTTTAGTTAGTTGCAAATAAAAAAAATATTTTATTTTAGCTAATACCTATTTATTAATTTGTTCTACTTATAAGCTAGGGCCATTAATAATTATTTTATTACTGTGCAAATTAAGAATTCATTAGTGTTACCTTTGCACTCGTGTATATGCCTTGACGCTTCTACGCCTAAAGGCGTCAACGGTGAATACAACGGAGCTTTTGGCGAATCCACAACATCTAAAACATTTTATACATTTAGTAAGTACACTCTTGGCTACATATCAAGCTATAAATCCCAATATAAGCTGATCTCGCAATGTATAGGATTTCCATACGATGAGAAGCCAGCATATACTGGATAATTTATAGCTTTATATGTATGTATGTAGTCGCGTGTACCACACACCTACAATTATTGACTAAATAATTCATAATAATTATTGAATACACTACGGTCTCATCATATTCCATAAATTGATTTAAGCATCGAATAATGTTAATTAGTACCGTAAATAAGTATGACGAAAAATCCACTTACCAATTTGCGATAGAACTTGTTCTGGCATATGAGATAGCGTCAATGCAGTTGCAGGATTCAAAAAAGCAGCTGGCGTTGTCACATCATCTGTAATAACATTAGCTTACATACATCACAACCCAGACATATGTTATGTCTAGACTAGGCTCGAAAAAATAAATAAATATAATATAGTAATAATAGACTAATAAGTACTTTCAATGTTGGTCATTCTAGACGATTTAAAGCCGTTACCGAATCGATGTTATTATTATCGCAAAATAGCATAGATTAATTTCAAATTAAGAATATCATTATAATAATTTTATTGTCAGTTTAAGGTCAATAAATAATAATAACAAGTAGATAGATAGGCACTTACCAGTTCCCTCAGTGTCATCCCTGTTTACTGGTGCCATTGTTAACAAAGTTTCATCCTCCTTCTTGTCTGTACCTGCACAAATAAAATGTAACGTCTTAATAAGTTTGTACAGTTTCTAAACTTTTTGAGGTTAAAGTTAAAAGTATAAAATTACTTACACTGCGGGAGTTTTTTTTTCTTCAAAGCACTTGAGATGATCCGGTCAATTCTTTTCATCGTTACAATCTCACAGCACGATATAAAAAAATATATTGTATTGGCCGTTACACTATTTCCGCCGTACGCATAACGCAAGTGATTACACAAGATACAATACAACAAGGGTTGCAACTTTTTAAACTAAAATAGTATAAGTAAAAAAATGTTGTCGTTTAAAAAAATGCATGGTAGTAGGTAATCTATGAAAATAATGTTGTTACATATACGAGAATGTCCTTAAGTCATTTTAGTGACTTTAAAGTTGCAAATAAATATTAATCTTAAAAGCCCTAGACAGTTTGAGATTTTATAGCCAAATTATAAATGCACTTTTTTTTTAATTTCAGTTCATCAACAATGATTCAGAGAGTGTGAGTCATTTCAGTTGAATGTTCAAAGAGCGTTTTACGGTAATATTTATTTATCAAAAACGACCTAGGAAACTTAAGTCGTTTTTGATGAATAAAAATACAGACTCTTTTCTTTGTATGTGTATTTATTTAAAACAACTCACATGAATTGAGGCTAATAAGTTAAATAAAGTTTAGTGCGTTCCCTTGAAATATAATTTATTAGAAAGGATTCTAGCGGGTTGGGTCTATTTAGCTGATCATATAGAAATGCGCACCCTTATGTGGGTTGGTCCCCAGTATTTAAAAAAATGCTTTCTATTTGTCTGAGGCTAGCTCGTTTTTGCTGAATGATAGACCCGACCTTTTAGGTTCATTTGGTGTATCTAACTCATTTTTGACAATATTGTGGGTTGAGTCCTTTCTGCTAATCTACGTCCAATTAGAGGTAAAACATTTAAAGATTTTGACCGCAAATATTGGAAAAATACATAAATAATATATTTCTTGTATTTTTTAAAATAATGACATGATTACCTATTACCACACGTGGACTGTAATTTCATTTGTCACTTCAGTTTTATATAAAGAGGGATAACTATAAATAAATTAGGCACAAAATAACGGATAATATTTTTTTAAAAGAGTACTATTATAAAAACAATATTGCGCCTTTTGCGTTTATACTTCTTTTTATTTACCTATTACCTCTCCTGAATTCATGATTCGAGTTTTAACATCGTGTCTATTTTAGGGCTGGATTGTCTTATTATAACCATGCCAAACGTCGATCATCAACATGAAACACCTTCAAAATCAATTCTTTACGACAGACTGGCAGACACCAAAACAATTTCATAATTTCCGTTTTCTTGAGTATGACAAGGAATATTAAAAAATAAAGCAACATATTTATATTGTTTTAACGTTCGTTGCACAATTGTAAGAATAACTACTGGATTCTTTAGTGAAAATCACAGTCTTTAATTGAAAACCATTTTATGATCATAATGAGATTGGGATTCCTTCTTTAGAACTTTTCATTGCAGTCGCCACACGTGATAGCATGGATCTTGAAAATTGCGTGGTATAGCCACGTTGCAGCTACGAGATGTTAGGATTGCAGCACAAATGGGTCGGCTCATGCGGAGAAAGGTCACGTTCTCCCAGGATACCAGCGAAAAATAGCAGCTCAAGTGTGCTGCATTTTATACGGTAATTGTAGAAAACCGCAGACTCGTTTTACTAGTAACGAAGCATTCTATCTCAGCCATCGGGGACGCCAACGCATCTACGTTTTGTTTATTAATCGAGCAAAGATGTAAATGTCTATAGGCCACAACAACCACTTACAGTGTGCTCGTTTGTCACCCATATTCTATAAAAAAACCCACTTACCATCAGGTAAACTGTATGCACGTTTGTTACCCTTATTCTACAAAATAAAATAAAAATAAACAAGGCTGACAGGTAACTAATGACTTGGCGCTTGTCGAAGAACTCGATTGTTTCTCAGGTAACAAATGGCTACTGATGCTGAGTAGACTCTTCGTGCTCACTTGATTGATGAGCTCTAGGTTTTTTTTTAATAATAGACGTTTACATTTTTATAACAAGCTTTTAGCAAATGAAATTTTATTAAATAATGATAATAATAATACTAAATAATTTCAAGTTACAAATATTTATTTCGAAATGCTGTGAGCAATAAGCACTAATTTAATAGACATTTCCTTGCCCTGAAACACTCAGAAATGAGGGGAGGCCTGTGCCCAGCAGTGGGACGTATATATGCTGTAACTTTAACTTTTTTTTATATAAAAATATTCAGTAATTAATTGGTTACATAAAAAAGTACATTTTCTAATTTACCCCTATTTTTCCACCGTTAGGCGTGGACTTATTTTATTAAAATTTATATGGAGACATCTTGAAGTATAACTGAATAAAAAAAGAAGAATCGCCGTTCAGCCGTTTCAAAGAAATAAAAGAAAGAAACGCGTCGAATGTAGTAATTTCTCGTTTTTGGCACTTGGTTAAAATATGCATTATTATTACTATAAGAATTCAATTAATATAATAAATAATAATAATAATACCATCAGGTGGACTGTGTACTAATTAATCACCCTTATTCTAGAAAAAAATCAATTTTAAGATATTTTTCTGGGTTCCGTGCTTCAACAGGCAAAAAAGAACCCTTATTTATAGGATCACTTCGTTAACCCTCCATCTTTTCGTATGTTAACCCTTTTTCTCAGAAACGGGTAGCGGTATCAAGTTGAAATTAAAATATAGTAATAAAGTCTACAATACCTCTGATATGTAAGAAATTTAAACTTCTAAGTCAACGCAATCAAAGGATTACGGCTATTTATCTCAAATATTTTGATACTCGCTATCTCTCTCATCGAAACCTGTAGTGTAAATCCCGTTAAATAGAATCATGAAATTTGGCAAAAACTAAGGTTCCACAGCACATGTAAAGCAAAAATCTAAGTTTATTCATTTATAGCTATTTAATTTACAAAATACTTTTTACGATTACCAACTTACATTTGCAGTTGGAGCATAAACCTTCACGTAGACTGATGTATGAAAAAACATTTATTTCCACTTTAAAGCCAAGTTTAACCACTAGTTTGATTTACTTGTTCGGTGTATACTTTACCCGTAATGTTATTAAATAAGTTGTACTTCACGAAAAAACAGTGGATGGAGATTTGAATGCAACTATTTAGATCACTTTCTAGACGTAAAACCATGCCTTGAACTTGGATCGCAAAAGGGTAAAAAATAAAAAGAAGAAAATATATTCGAAAGGCTTGGACCAGCTCGGCTTTATCCTGTGAGTGAGAGTTACACCGCTCTTTTAGCTAGAACAACATGATGCTAAAGGGGAACAAGTAAATTATATTAAAAAGTTAATTCAAATGGGCTTCATCACCACTTACCATCAGGTGGGATTATGGCCAAGCACTGGTTTATAATAAGAAAAAAATTGTTATGAACTTTATATAAGCAGGTCTTGATCTAATCATGTTCTTGTAGATGAAATCCATGTCTTTAACCTAAACCACATAAGCAGAACTAGCTCAAGTATCGAAAGTACACTGCAGCTGAAGAACACGTTGTAGATTCCACCAAGTTGAGCTGTTAAACCAGAATGGAGTCAGTTTAGCCTTTGATCTATATATCTTAACAATATATGTTCAATATAATAATGCTTTCAGAATGTTGTTGGGACTGCCTCGATACTGTAGTGCGTCGGAGATGTTTGCGCAAGCTCGCACGGACGGTTTTCATGCGATAATACGTAAGAAAACAGCTTCGCTGCTTAGAAGGGTGAGAGATAGTCACAACAGCATTTTGAAAACAGTAGCGGAGAACTATAATTCTCCGATTTTGAAAAAGTTTGTCCACACATTAATGTTTACTAACACTAGTTTATAAGTCAATTGTTACTAACACTACTATGGATTAATTTTGGTCCGAAATAAAGATTATTATTATTATTATTATTAACAAGTGAAGATAAAACTTTAATCATTTTCTAGCTTAATGCGCGCACGTAGGAGTGTGAATTTTTTTAAATTGTGTAGTTAAAGTTTATATGGAGAAGGAGTGCAGAAATCAAACATTAATATACATTATGTGTTATAATAATGTACATCAAATTAAATAATATAATTCCTACATTATATACGTTAACACTTTCACTGTCTGGTTTTCATACACATTAGTAAGACAATAGCAATAACCCATATGAGGGATAAGGGACAATGAAAGTATTAATACCGCCGATGTCAAACACATAATTATCATTTAGACAAATTTTGTCGTTTATTGACGATCATATAAATGAGGGTATAATATCCATCTTTTATAGATTAATGTGCTGTTGAAAGTTAAATACAGCTTGGTTAATAGACAAACCTGAAAATTTAATGAAAATCGGAGCACTAGACGACCAGTCGTTTACATCTGTTTTAACTGTTATTATTATATGCCACAGTTTTCTGTTTCCCGGTAAAAACTACTTCTTACCGACGATAGCAGTATAATGTATTTTTGAATTAATATGTGGTAGAAGTAGTTTTGACTAAAGGAAATTGTAGATGTTAACAACAAAGAGGTTTTTAGTATATTATATTTTTGTGTTTATCTTGTTCTCAAATACATTGTCAATTTATTCAATAACACAATTTATATATCATTTTCATTTTTATGCAGTATTTACGTATCCTATCTAACAGTTAAGAAAAAATTGTTGAACAGATATTTTGACTGAAAAATATCGTTTAAAAGTAGTTTTTAATTACAGAAAACTACGGAGTCTAAGTGCAGCAGAGAATTTTTGCAGGTTATTAACGATATATAAAATGCTACTACTGTATTTTCCCTTCAGCACAAAAACACTTTCATGTTCGTTTTCATTTTTAAGCAAAATGTTATGTATCACACTAGGATTTTCTCCTGTATCGTTATGTTTGTAACCTACAAACATAAATTTCACAAGGACAAACATCCAGACCCAAAACAATTATTTGAAGTCCATAAAAAATATTTGTTCTGAGCGTGATTAAAAATCTGCGACCCTCAACGCCGCAAGTCATTGCTAAGCTACTGCGCCACGGAACCGCTTTGTGTTTACATTAAGTCTTAAAT